GCGCTGCGGGTGGCTCGCGGGGCCGCCTTGTCGCAGGGTTCGGGGAACAGCGTTTTTGTGCCTATTTACGTCACACGCGCACTCTTTCGTGGTGAAAATCGCTCGGAAAAATTCTGGCTGGACTTTCCTTTGTCATGTGTGCCTGTATTTCTGACTCACAGAAATGGCATATGTCTTTTTTTCTAGAGAAAGATACCGTCAAGGCTTTGCAAAACCCCTTTTTGACGGGATTAGACCATATTCTTCTAAGTAATGGCCGAGGGAGATCTCATTCTGTTTTCAAGTTAATCATAACTTGTTCATCTGAATTATTTCTGTATTTTTCAACTTCGTACTGCTTGATCCGTGAATGTAGCCGTGTTTAAAACATTGTAACCACAAACCAATTCAGAAAACACTCCAAGTGACAGCAAGAGGCAATTCTCCTCTGTTTAAACCCAAGTCCACGGCACAAGTATGGATTGTTAATCTCTCTCCAATTTGGGGTAGAACAGTTAAGTTTAAAGACCACAGTTAAGTTTAAACCACAGTTAAGATAAGAAAAAAACCATATGTTTTTCCTGGGGTCCACTTTTATTGCTGTGGTTTGTGATACAGCTTCTTCCAGTTTGCCCCGTTTGCCTTTAATTTACTAGCCCAGCCAGCTCTGCCTTCTTCAGGGCAACATCTCCAGCCTGTCCAGGTGTGAGGTGAGGTTGCTCCATGGGGGCAGTACTGTGCCAGTTGGCTCTGACCTTCTCGTTGTAACCTGTGGGTTGTGTGGAGCAGGTCTCTGGGCTTGGGGCCACAGCAAAGAGGGCCTGAGGCAGCCTGAGCTGCCTAAAAATCAAGGGCAGTGACTATCCCCCTCTGGTCAGCACTTGTTAGACCTTATCGCAGTACTGTGTCCCCTTTTGGGTTTCCCAGGACAGGAAAGACATGGCTCAGCCAGGGCAAGTTCAAGGGGGCCCCAGGAAGGTCAGGGCTGAGGAGTGCCTGGGTGAGCAGGGCTTGCCCTGCCTGGGAAGGACCCTGAGCAGCTGCCACCCATGGGGAGGTTGCTGAGACCAGGCAGCCTGGCACTTCATGGGGATACATGGCAGGAAGGCACAAGACAATATGCATAACTGAAAACAAGAGGTGCAGTGTTGGATATCAGGAAGAACATTCCCCCAACCTGGGGCAGGCTCCCAGGGAAAGCTGCACAGGCTCCATCCCGGAAGTTTTCAAGCCTGACCTGGACACAGACCTCAGCAGCCTGGTCTGGCCTGGGGTTGACCCTGCACAGAGCAGGAGACCATAGTAGAGTCCTCCCAAGGCCCCATCCAATCTGAAATACCCCGTGTTTCTATGATTCATAGCTTCATTTGCTACAGGTCTACCCATTTACTTTTTCCCACATAAAAGTTACTTTTATTCTCTGACATTTTCCATTGACCTTCTTTAACCAGCATTCTGTATTACTCTGTTGAATGTTTATATGAACACCAATGGCAGCTGGAAGATGTGCTGCAGTTAAATAACAGGGTAGGTAAACAACAAAGAGCCCAATGGTGCAGCAAGGTTTTCCCTAGTAGAGGAGTTAAGGAGGGCAGCAGGGCTTTTGGGAGCAACCCCTCTGGGGAGTGAGTGCAGGTCCCTGGCAAAACATGTCTGCTGGGTCAGGGGAGCTCATGCTTTGTGTCTGGGATAGTCAGGGCCATTGGTCACTACAAGGAATGACTTGAAAACAGGAAAAATGAGTAAAAACGAAGCTTCTGAAACTCTGGATGAAGTGAGGTGTGGACTGAAGCTGTTTGCTTTAATATACCGATTTCTTCTCATGTATTAAATAATGAATAGCTTTTTGTTTATGCATTTATTTTCCTCCGGCAAAAAGCAGAAGGCAGGAAACTCATAAGCCAAGTATTTACTTAATAATGTTTTCTCAAAGGATAAAACTGAAAAATTAATTCAGAATTGTTAATTTATTCTTTATCCTATTTTAAAACTGTCTTTGTCATTCCTTTTGCCTTTGTTTCTTGCTGATATTTGTGAAGCATTTTAAGATTATAGATGAAATCCTGAAACCCTTGAAGAAACAAAAAAATTACTTTTGGCTTTTATGGAGTCTTTTTCTACCCTGTAACAGTGGAAAGGATCTTGGTTTGACTTTGATCAGTGTTCTGTTACAGAAATAAGCTCACAAGTATTCATCTTGGAAGTTTAAATCCTTGGTAGAATGGCTCCATCAGAACAGTAATAAAAATCTTACTGTCTTTCTTGTAGTGGATTTCACCCCGGTTCCATATAAGGCTCCACCACCTCCTCCAAAACCAGAAAAAACATTTCCTCCTTATACTGGATTTGGTTCTGAAGAGGATTCTCTGTGCTCCTGTATGAATCTGATTCTCAAGCCTCCCCAAAAAGATGTGAAAAAATTCATGGAGAAAGACAGGTATTTCATGAAAAAATTATTCCAAATTTTTAAATGATGTCTTTTTGTGAAGGAGATAGATGTTGAGTAGGGGTGTTTGTGGTTTTGTTTGTTGGTTTTTTTTTTTCAGCAAAATATGCAGCTCATTAGACTTCTAAGGGACAGAAGCATGAGGAGTAGTTTAGTGACACAATACTCCAGTTTTCTCCAAACTCAGCAAAAATTCTCTTTTGAGAAGGCAAATATTCTGACCCTCCCATCCTGTAGCTCCTTCTCTTCTGCTGCCTTCAGTGGGAGTTTGATGGAAGCCTTAGTCCAGGAATTACTCAGGAATTTTGTATACTTCAACAGTCCAACACTGATTTGTTTTTCTGTTTGACTTTCTGACATATATTTTTTTTTGGTCTGCTGAATTTAATGCAGTTTACTGTAGCAATATTAAAGCATTAACCCTTTGCTTTTTATCATAATATGATTTGTCAGCTGGTGGTTGTTGAAGCCTAAGCAGAAAGTGAAGTCATATGCTAGAGATTTACCTGTAGAACCTCTGTAAAACAAGAAAGCTATTAGGAGCAGGCTTGGGAACGTAGTGATAGTTCATGTAGTGGTACTGTAAATAATTTAAAGCACAATCATTTAACAAATACCCAACTAGTAAGATCATCTAGTGGCCCTGATTTTGTGGAGGTAATCCTAGTATATATTGCTATTCAGAATATGATTTGAAAATATACATACCTAAATGTATTCTTCCTTTATACATTTTCTGGAAAGAAGCTTGGAGCTTAACTTGCAACTGAATTTGAATACAAATTCATTCCAGACCTGTGGAATAAAAGTAATTTTCCTCTGAAAATGATACGTTTCTGTCTGCCAGACTGTAGTTGGTTCTGTTAGTTTAAGCTGAAAATGGTTTTTGAAAAAAGTAGGGAACCTTATTCCATTTCCTTTCTTGGTCCAGGAATAACATAATTAGTGTATGTTTCAAAACTGAGGAGAATGCATCTCTTAGTGATGAAAACTTTTTTCATACTCCATTTTTTATTTCTTACCTCTTCTTTCTCTATTTAGAAGTGGCATGGAAAGTAACATACTGCGCTTTGTTGCAAAACTCAGCACAGATAGTCATGTTGACAAGGATCGGAAATTCATTATTTCCTACTTCCTGAGTGATGATACCATTTCAGTTTTTGAACTTACACAGGAAAACACAGGTAAGATGCAGTAATGTCTTGCAATCAGTCAAAGTTGTCCTGTTCATTTGATTAGAGTTTACAGTAAACATTGTGGCCAGACTGAGCACTAGCAGAAGCAGGGATATGGATTTTTAAATGCAATGGGAATTACACCAGCAGCTATCCTGCATTATCTTTCATAGCTGTATGTCATAGTAATCTTCATCACTCAGAATAACACTGTTCATTTTATGACAGTACTTTACAATGTAATTTGGGAACTGGAAGTTTAGTGCATTAAAACATTTATTACATATTAATTTGCAAATTTGGCCTATAAAAAACTGCTTTTGCTGTGGATAACATACAGGAATTGTATTGTAACTGATGATAAATAGAGACAGGAAATGTAAGACCTCAAGAGTGAGAGTAAATCCTTTGTTTTGCAAGACTGTGTTGTGGTATTGTGATACCTATGTAGCATCCATTGTAGAGAAGCAGCTCATGAAAACAACACAGTTATGGTATTTTTTAGGATACTTTCTTATTATTCATGTGGTGTTGAGCATATAAATAGTAAAAGTTTCCCTGTTCTAACACCTGGATGTGTGTGATTTTGTAACACTGTACTGAACTTCAAGAACAACAGTGTGTAAGTGACAAAAGCTTTGTTTTTCTCACTTGCTTATTCATATTTATCCTATTGCTGGAGCACGATCACCCAAAGGTGCCATGGTTAAATTCTTTTGACCACTGTTGTCTGTTGTAGGCTACCTTCAACTGAGGATATTAGTTATGTGATTTCCAAGAATCATTTTATTTCCTTAGAATGCCTTGCACATGGATGGAAGGACACAGCACTGGGAATGATGTCAAGAAGTCATTATGTAACTCAGAGAGATAGGGAAGCCTTGGCTGAGCATCATCCAGTTGAAGAGATTAGTGTATTTCTGTGAAGCCCACGAAACATCTGCAGCAGCAGTTTCAGAGCAGTCAACATTCAGAGTATTGTGGCATCTCTCAACATGTGCAGTTGAAGTGCTGCTTAAAAGCTGCTGTCAGCCTCTGATAAACCACAGAGAGAAAAAAAAAAATCAGGAAATCACATTCTCTCAAACACCAGAGAAAGAGTAATAGAAGGTTTCCTTAGTTACCATGTTGGGCTCTTGTAGAATCTCATGACTGACTCTTTAGCTCTTTTGATGCTTGCTACTTGAATTGCTCTACAGCAGCTTCTTGGCACAGAGCACCTTAGTGTGGTACGTCAGGTACACTCTGCCATGATGACCAGCTCGCTGTGCTCAGTACTGACCTGTTTGGTATTCCCAGCTCACTGTATAGAGCAAAGACTGTCCTAGGGAAGACTTCTCACTGTCCTTGGCTTCAGACTCTGGTGGTAGCAGTTCACTTTCTGAGGTCCAATATTCTTAAGGACTAAATATGCTTGTAACCCTGCTTTTAGGCCTTTACTGAAAATTATTTCTGACGTTAATCTATTTCAGACCTGCAATTAACATCACATCCACACAAAATGGAGGTGTGGCAACTATCTGGATCCTTCTGTGTTCTGAGCTCTTTCTGTGTCAGTGGTGCTAAGTAGTTTTGAGTACACATGAGTAGGTTTTTGAGAAGACTTGAGCCTTTTCAATGCAAAGAACTTCTAATGGCATCTCTGCTTGTATCCAACTATATGACAAATGCATAAATGCTCACCTCACCCCCAATCAAAATGCAACCAATTATCTGAGAAACATGTTGAAAAAGCATAGACTACCTGGCTAGGCTTCAATGAGTGTTGCCAGTTTGACCGGCTCCACTGCAACATAAAGTTTAGTACTGCTTATGGCAGCAGTGTCTTGTCATTATTATTTTACTAGTTTCCTGCCATCCAGTGGCCTGTAATTTATGCAACTTCTTTTATTACAGCCAAAGATACATACACTTATGTATGTATTTATTGTGTAATGCTGCTGTAAGGCTCAAGAGCTGCTCAATTCTCTGTTAGTGAATGACATGTTCGACTGGCATTTCTTTATGTCCGGAGACATAAAGGATGCTATGGGTACAGCTGCATTGTTAAATTAAAGAAGTTAGGGAAAAGCTAGACTCTTGGACCCCAATCATAAGTATTGCCAGTTCGGTCAATCCTGATTCTCCTTTACACCATTCCAATTAAACACCATTCCAATTAAAGGCCCCAGAGAGCCTGAGACACCTCCTGGAGGATACTAAAGTCCAGCAAACTCTCCTGCAAGGCAGTAAGGACAAGGCTGCACCAGGTTAGGTGTGCTCCAGCCTTATCAGTCACCTAACACTGTCGCAGGAGGTTTTGTACACTCTAAAATTCAGGTCCTTCTGCCACACTCTCGGGCTGCCATTCATGCCCTCAGTTGTTTGCTGGAGAACACCACTGTTGGACTGCAGCACAGCCATCACATACCTTCATACAGTTTGAACACACAAAAATAATAGCTGTGTCTTAAGATCCCAGATTTATCACATAGAATGTAGAGCAGAGTCAGAGCCATGCAGGGTGTGCTGCAGATGTGGTCAGTTGGTCGGTCTCTCAACAGCAAGGGTGTAAGGCCAGAGCTTTTTTATGAATTGATACAAATTGGCAATTAAAAATGTTCAAAATCTCAGTCCTAAGATGGAAGTAATAAAGTTGCTCTTACTTTTCCCAGTCCAACAACTTGAAGTTTGCAGATAAATGCTTCACACTATTAGTAACACTGTGAAACTATTTGAAATACACAGGGCTGGACATCTTGAAGCACTTGCTGAGAAGGAGGTCAAAGAATTGGCTCCCAATGTAGGAGATCACAGCTCCTTTTTTACTGAGTTTAAGACCAAGCCAACAGCTGTACAAACACCTGGAAAGTCTGATCTGATCTTAATGGAAGAGGGTCTTTGGTTGTGGTGTTTGTTTTGTGCTTTGAGCCTGACTCTTGTAGATTTCTATCAAATTTTCTCATCAGGTTTCAGTGTAAAATCGTTAGCTTAATGAGATATTTTTGGTCATTTTGCTTTATACCACATGAAATGTACTCACTTGTAACATTTAAAAAACAATTATGTAACAGTAAGTTTCCAAGCTAAGTATACAATTGCAGGAGAATGCAGAGAAAAGAGTGAAGTTCCAATCTTACAGCGACCAGTTCTGTTTAAATATTACAAACAGCTGCCAGCATTATATAACCTAAAATTTCATATTTGTTTTATTAACTGGATGAAAAAAAATGAGTCCAGATTAAACCTACATTAGTGATTTGAATAATTGTTTTTTTCAAGCTAGACCTGCCCGTTACCATAGTATATTTTTTGCCTTTTGCTTTTATGGTGCTAGTAAAGCAATTAAGACAGACATCTGAGCCAAACTCTGGTTTAATAAGTAGTTTGGATTTCACATTAATTTATAATGTTGACTATACTATGAAAGGCATTTTTCTTTTATTACACTGCTCATCAGCTTATTTTTTAACTTGAATCGCTACCTAATAGGCAAGACATCATTAAATGTTACTGAAGTACACTTTTTGACTTTTGGTTTGCAAACTCAAATATAAACAGGAAATAAGCCCCAAGCACTCCAGAGTTGTTGTAGGGCGCCTATCCTGATGAAACTAAAGATGTGACAGAACATTTTCTGGAAAGCTTGGTATATGCAGTGCAATCTTGTGGTGCACCAGGAGGTGTTACTGGAAAGCGAAATGTTCCTTTTATTATCTTACATGCACTTGAGCATTGCAATGAGTTTCTAGTGGCATGAATAAAATCATTATAATGTGATAAGAAATAATGTGACAGCTCACAAAGGAAATAACAGATCGCAATTAAATTGTGTTGGAGGAACATTAGGTGGAAGATAGTGTCATGTCACTCTTGCTTTATTTGCTTTGTGGGTTGTTTTCTTTTTTTACATTCAGGAGCCCTTAAAAACAACTTAGAATTATAGTGCATGATCTTCATAGAACTATGCTATCCTAAGTTGTGATTTTTTAATTTATTTTTTTTTTCCTGTAACAGTTCAAGGATAGTTGCCTGCATCTTACATTTTGCATCTCTACATTTCTCAAGGGTCAGTCCCAATACTGGTGAAAGGGTTATGGGAACGGTTTGAAGAGGCACATTTCTGTCCCATTTTAAATAAAAGAAAAAAAGGGAAGGTGTTTGGCAGGCGTTCAAACGAGACATGTCACAGAATATGCACAATGTAACTGTTGCTGAGGTCACTGGCCGAGACAGTTCTTTCACCAAAGAGGGGGGGCGGGGAGAGTGTACTATAATAAAAGAAACTCAAAGATGAAAACTGATTCTTAAATACAAACCAGCCGGTTTGAGGTGTCTTTTGGGTTTTCTTTTGTGGTTTTTATTTCCCAAGTAAAACCACAATTAATTATTTATAATTCTATTCCTATAGGGATAGCTGGTGGGAAGTTCTTGGAAAGAGGTCGCATTAAGAAGCCTGGGCAGGAGCTCTTTAAGAGTGAGCCATCTGAATACTTCAAGGCTCAGAATCTGTTTGTTGGAGCCACAGTTTGTTTCCATGGACACAACTTCCTTTTAGTGGATGCTGATGAGTACACATTCAAATACATGGAGAAGAATGCAAATGAGGTAAAGCAGGCTCTTGTAATTTCCTGTTATCTTTAAGAACTGTACCTTATCTACATATTTTTCAGAATTATTTATACCCACTTTCTTCACTCAGAGTTCACAGCCCTGTGCTCTCTCTGTCTAGCAACAGATTTTGGAGATGCTGACTAGGGAGTGCATGCAAGTCTGGCCACTCTTTTCCATCCATTCCCCTTCTACTTTCTCAGCATCCATTCTTACTATATGTAGGGTTGGTTGAAGATATATTCCTGCCTGTTCCTTTTTCAGACTGTGTACCTCTTGGCCCTGAATTAATCCTAAAGATACTGTCTGTTTCCACAGCTTTCTGTGGCAGCAAGTTGAAAAATTCACTGCCTAATATGTAAAAAATAGATGTGATAAAATAAGTAAGTATCTTTTTTCTTTTTTTTTTTTTTTTTTTTAAACCAACTTTCCACTAGTTTCAATGCCAGTTCTAGTGTTCTGGGCTTTGGTGAAGATCCCCATTGATGTTTCGTACTGCCATAATTTTGTAAAACTCAGACATTCTTCCCCCTCAGCCTAATCATATCTATTTAAGAATCTCACCCTTTTTAGCCTGTCCTTGCAAGGGAACTGTGAGACGTGGAGACTGGAACAGTGCACAGTACTCAAGAAGTGGGCACATCCAATGTGCTGATGAGGCTATTTTATTCCCTGATTTCATTGTTTGGGTTCATACATATTTGTCTGCCAAAATGTTTCCCTTGTAATATTAGAAATTCATATAACAGGAAGTAGAGCTTACAGTTATACTGAGTTTTACTATGTTTTGGTTTTGCCTTCAGAGGGGAGAGAAACAGTTAAGAAAGCTGGGGAGCATCTGGTGATGTATACTTTATGCTATCAGTCATTACACAAATGGCTGGTAAAGATATCCTCATTTGCCAAAGCCAGAAGGAAATTGATTATCCTATAGGAATTGTCACAGAGGTAAAAGAGTACAGGGATGGAGAACCACAGAAGAGTCACAGAATGTTTTGTGGGATTTTAGGTTACATTGGTAAGAACTGTAGATTATTGTTTCAATGAAATTTATGCTGCAATATTTGAATAAATATACCCAGGTATATTTGGAAATTCCTGTTCATTGCAACTCTGACTCAGTCACTTTGAGACCCAGCTTAGGACCAAAGGCATTTCTGCATCTCAGTCCCTGTTCTGAATTGTTGCTTCATCAGAGGGTGATCTTGAACATCAGCCTTTGGACTAGGCTGTGCTGTAAGGACTCATGTGTATGCTTCATAGCTCAAGGTGGGACAACAGCAGGAGTTGTGCCTTCAGCAGGTCTCCAGAGCTGCCCTTTTGCTTGGGCTTGCTGAGAACATACCTAGGGAAAGTGTCAAGGAGGGTTTGTCAAACTGTAGTCCTCCCAGTTGTCCAGACCTGTTGTGGATAGAGATGGGAGAAGGCTCTTAATGCAAGTTTGAATTGTTCCCTGTCTGCTTGCTCACCAAAGTGTGTGAACCTGCAGGACTCCCAGGACAACAATGGGCCTAGCACAGTCTTGGGGACTGTGAGTCTTGATGCTGTTGTGCTGCTGAGGCAGAGTTAGGTGCAATCTGACCCTTTGCTGCCTTTGGGCCACATGTGGTGTTCTCACTGAGATGAATATAGCAGAACAACATGATTCCTTTGTAAATTAACATGGAGTTAGCACCACCTGCCTTCCCTGGAATAATGAGGAAGATCTGCAAAATGCTTGTTGATGTAAAATGCTACAACTGCTAAATGCTTTAAGCAGTAAAATACAAAGCTATATGCAGTATGTTTTCTTACTGCTGGACTGTTTCTCCTCCTAGAATTATCAAAACCAAAGCAATTCTCCAAAATGCAGAGCACATCGTTAGACTATAAATGTTTTTTTGAACTGCTGTTTGCATTTATTATCGTGGATCAAACAAGTGAGATTTTAGTTTTTCAGGCTGAATTATTTTAGATTGTCAAAATAAAATCTGCAAAATGGGAGGAAGCAACACTAAAAATATGTATTTGAAGTGATTTTTTAAGTGTTCTTTGCACAGTTAAGATTTTAAAACAACTGGTAGAAAAATAAAGTAGGTTCTCCCAATGATAGATGTTTTATTATCTTCATTTGAATAGAGCTCCAGAAGTAAGGGCACACCTTATTTGCCTCAGTTCATCAGGGGATTATGTAGTTAATCTCCAAGAACCTCAGCAATTATTAGAGAAGAGCAGAGCTGGAAGAAAGGTTGAAAAAAGGAAGACCATTTTAAGATGACTATTTGTCAGTTATTTCTAAAACTGGAACATAAATAATTTTCCTTGTGAATAGACAAAGATTTCCTTTCAGCAGATCACATCAGTAAGTTTTCTGAAAACTGGTGAAAGAAATCCAGATGGAATGTTTTTCTTCTGGAAAATGCCATTTTGACCACATTTCTATAGGCATTTGTTGACTTAGATGAAATATTGGTTGGGTAATCATAGCACAGGTGGGAACTGATTTTGCTATTATTGAACCATTTGTCTGACACCCTGTGAGATATTAGGCAAGGTTTAATTTTCTGTTTCAAAACAGTATTTATTGTATTTTTTTAAGTTATGGGGAGAGAAATATAATTGACTCTTGTAATTTTGATTGCTAGTTGTACTAAAAGTAACTTTAAGGATTTAATTCTCAAAACTTTTCAACATTTGTAATTTCTCTTCCAATTTGAGGAAAGAAAGGTGTATTTAGAAAGTGTAAATTTGCTTGGAAAACAGAACACCTGTGTTGGGTACAGTCCGGTTATTATCAAGGTTTGAGAACACTTTCAAACAATGTATCACTGTCCCTCCTTGAAAATGAATTTATAATCCCAGAAATAGTCTCAAATTTTTCAACTTCATAGTATTCTGCAGCAGAAACATGGAGGTTGAGTTTACTTCCATTCAATTAATCATAATTATCTGTGACTTAAGCAAGACAATCAAACAAAAACTAGATTGTGGCTACTAGCATGTCAGCGGTTACATGAGAAAGGGAGAAAGTGAGTAAAGACTGATTGCTATGCTACTCAAATACTCAAATGTCTATGTAGGTGTTTGGAATATGTAGTTCAGGAAAAAAAAAAGTAAAAATAACTGCTTTGATAATGTAGAGAAGACAGGTTTTTAAATAGACAAAACACTTCGGCCATCTTTAATATTTGGCTGATTGATTCCTTCTGCCCAGTCTATTCTTAGTCTGTGTTCCTTGCTTTTTTAGCAAAAAGCTGTGTGCTTACAGCCTGAACAATAAGAGCTTGGAGAAGGTATTGGAAAAGTTACTGTCTCTTAAAAGTTTTTGGTTGCTGGTCCAGCTGCTCCACACTGTGATACGCCACTTCCTTGTGTGGCATTGCATGCCAGGGTTGTGCCTTGAGCAGTTTTGACATATGCAGTGACTGTTTTCTCTAAATCTGAGCATGTTACCTGCAACCACTGATTTATTTATTGAACTTGGATCACTTTATACTGCTCTGGCAGTGCCATAGGGATGTTAAATGCCCTTTTCTAGATCTCTTCGAACTCATACAATGCTACAGACTTCAGCATAACTGAGAGTGAGACCAAATAATTGAGAGTGAGACCCAATTTCTATTGTGATTAGGTCATTAATACCAGCCATATGAAATTTTAAATAATTGCCAGATAAGACAACATTGCTTACTAGAAGAAATGGGAGAAAACTTTGGACAGTTCGTTGTGCTTTGTAAGTTAGGTAAAGCAGGACAGATGTAAGGGCATATCAATTCAATCTCTTTCTAATGACTAAATCCAGATGTTTTATGCTAAAATACAGTATAGCAAATGAATATCTAGTAGAGCTCTAACACAGCAATTTGAAAATAGGGTGGAAGTTTAAGTGCTCCAGTTCTGTTTATCTAAATTTAATGGCCTATATTCAGAACAAATAAGCATTCTTCATATATGACAGGAAAATTAGGTTCCTAAGAAATTTCTGGTCTTCTAATTTTGAGTGTGTAAAAAAACCATCCTCAGTCTAATATGAATGAGAATATCTGTTCAACAGCTTATTGGAGCCATGGTGAAAAGAGGAGTTTTAACATGGGAGGTTTCATTAATTGAGAATTAAGTGAAATGGATTGGCATAAAATGAGGTCCAAGTTGTTAGAACTGTACTTTAAATATTTCTGCTTCTGCTTTAGCAAATCAATGTTTGAAGCAAAAGTGGCTGTCTTTTTATGTAGCTGGAATGAGCCTTCTAAGAGTGCATGATCTGATGATTTTAGTTTGATTAATTATATTCTGAGGAGGAGGCAATTTTTTCAGTAGCAAACTTCCCTCCAAACTTAGCACAGTGCTGATTTATGCATTTGAAGTGAGACAATGAAGAAGTTAGTAATACTTAGCAGTTCGACATTGTCCAGCATCTTGACAACTCTTGCTGGTACATGCAAAGTTGGTTGTATAGTGCCTTCTCCTCTAATCGCTGTCTTGCTTTCCTTCATTAAGTTCCCCATGGCTCATATTGGTGTCGTCCTCAAGAAACTGAAAGACATAGCAGAGCCTCGTTCCCGAGAAATCAGACAGGCGTTTGCAGCCACTGACTCCGAGCACACCAAGGTGCTCAACTATGAACTTTTCAGGTAAGACGCTGGATTTTGGTTTTTAATATTTAATGAAGGCACATTTCCCCAGAAAGTACAGAGCATAACTGTTTCTTGATGCGTTTTGCACATTAGCTGACAAGTGGGATACGTTTGTTTTGCATTTATTTGGAGACGGTACGTGAAAAGAAGAGAGTGAATCCATGCCCTGGAAAAAAAAAAAAGAGAAATGGAGTAGTTTCAAGTGAGCTCAAAAGCACAACTAAAATCTGTCTACATTTTTATGGTGCTGGCACAGGGTTTTGTTAACAAGGGCAAGTCAGCAGTAATATATACTCCAAAGACTAAAGAAAAGCATATCCTGAGAGAGCCAAACAAATCAATTACTAGTTTTGAAATTCAAGAAGCAATGTTTGAGTTGATCTCCTGAAAATGTTATCTGGCTTCTGAATAATTGGTTAAGAAGAGAGTCTTTGGACAATCATGGTATATTGAAATTATAGGATGCTGTGATAAGCATCTATAGAAAAAGACTGGAAACCAGTAGTGAGAGCAACAATTAGTGCTTGGATAGTAATTTCAGTAGAGTTGGGTGAGTAGTTACCTGGATTCTGGCAATGATCCAGGTATTGGCAGTTTTTGGTAAAAATATTTCTAGACTCAGATGTTTTACTCAACAGAAGCAGGATTCTGAATTAACTACATTAATAAGGATGATGTTATTACTAGAGTAAGAAGTGGAGAAAATTAAAACTTAATGTATATCTGGAGGAACTTTGTAGCACTTGGGAAAAGGTTTAATTTTGTATATACAATAACTGTTTAAAATAAAATAATTATGTTTTTGCTTCAAATTAGGAAATAATAATCTGCAAAACTTTTTTCTTCTTACATGCGCAAAGAGCAAGTCAATGTTTTGGAACGTATATATGATGGAATCAGTGGAGTACACTTTTAGAAAGGATGATTGTACTTTCAAACATCAGGAAAAGATTTTTATTTTATCAAGAAAAGTCTCAGTTGAGTGTATGTTTAATCTCAGTGATGCTCTCTGCAGCGGTGAACTGCCCCAGTGTTTGATTTAGTTAGTGCTGTTCTGTGGCTTTGAGTAAGATTCATCTAGTTATATGGTACTGAGGCACTTGGTTTCAGCAATAAAAATGCAGTGGCTCTCTGCATGAGCAAGAGAGAAATCCGGGTATTACCGTGTTGGTTTTTTTTGCCTGAGCTTTCACCAGTGCCTGCCTGAACATCTACTGATGGTCTACATCCTCCTGCTGTGGCACCGCAGGGGGTCTAACAGGGAGCATTCACACTACCAGAGGAAGAATTTGCCTCTAATGGACATTTAAGATCTGTACTTTATAGTGACAGTAGATATTGTTCCTGTTCCTTCATATTATATCCATTAATCCGAAAGCTCACTTTGGTATCTATGTATTTTATTTTAGAATGAAAGGAACAATCTTAGTGACAAAGACAGGAGCACTTTGTCTCTATGAAAAGTCAAAGATAGTTTTCTGTGATTAGAATATGTATTTTCATTCAGTTTCATATTTTTTTTGTGTAGTTCACTGTTTATTTTTAATCTGTTCTGGCATTTCATGATTATAACTAGCTACAAATGATTATTTTTAGTACAGGGAATCATCTGTGTGACAGCTTCAACCAGCATGATAATCCTCTTTTCTTATATACAGCTAAAGCTTTTCTTCTCTTATATAAGCTAAAGCTTATATACAGCTGAATTTGGCTGTTCAGATTTCTTCCCTTCTGCCTATGCAATTTTATATGAGCTGCATTTAAAAATACATCTGTAAGTGTGATGTAGTGAAGCAGAATTGCATTTATACTATTTACTTTTTATTAGTTTCAGAACCCAAATCTATGGCACATCATCCAGGAAATAAATACATGGTGTATACTGAAGCTATCTGCTAAGATACCATTAATACTACTGAAAGCTTTGTTAAAAAGAGAAAATAAACAAACAAACAAAAAACTTAGTTGCCTGTGCATGACATGGTCTGGTTCGGACTGCTTTTTCTCATAAGTAACTGGCAGGACTGTTAGAGACAAAGGATCATGTGGATTTAACAAAGATGCCTATCTTCAATTCAGCTTGAGAAACAGCTCTCTTAAGCAGTTAATTATTGTACCTTCTTTCTCTACCAAATTCAGACTGTAATCTGTTTTATTATTCTAGAATAATAATAATAAAAAGTAAAACAATAGATAACTAAGCTGTGGGAACAGTTGTTGCAGTTTGTTTCTTTTTTTCAGGAAGATTTTAGATATAATTGTGCTTGTGAATCTTGATTCTCATTCATCAGCTGCTAGCAATCACTAGAATATTCCTTAATTCCCAAATGAGACAGCAATTTTCTCTGGGGGTGTTGTTGACTTGATTGTCATTGAGTGGCTTGAGAAAATAAAAGACTTTTAAAATCCTGACACTGGAAAAGTCTAGTCCATGTGTGGAAATCCAGTCTGTGGAAATATTCAGATGGGTGATTTTATCTATGTGCTTTCAGCTTCCACAGCCCAAGCATTTAGAGAGCCAGGCTTATTAGGCACTATTGTCCTCTTTTTTATGTTTGTAGTTGTATTACTGCAGGATCCAGGAAAGAGGCTCCAGTATGTGGAATAATAATACTGACAAGTTAATGGTAATATAAATAGATGAACTAAATTTTGGTCATTGAGTTTGCATAATCTCAGATAAGGTTTTTGACTGTCAACAGCTTGCCTTCGCCTTATATTTATCTCCTGCCGCTGCAAATAGAGGATCTCTCTGATTTATTTAATATGAAAAAAGCAGCAGATGATTCAAAGTAGATGCTATACAGCATTTAGCATCCATTTTTAAATAGCTGTGTAAGTGCAATCATATTCTCTGAAGAGATACTTGCATTTGAACAGGACTGCACAGGCTTCCGAGAGAAGGAAAGTGAAAAATTATGTTTATTGATAAAATTTTGCATGTTGGTAGGGTACTAAATTTCTTTGTCTTCAGTTCACATGTGGATTTTGAGACCCGTTATCAGATTCATTCAAGAATTTAACTATTCTCCAGCCAGAAGTTTGATTCTTGTTTCAGAAATTTTTTGCATCACTAGTATTTTCTTCCATTTGTTTTCAAAGATTGGTATATAATCACATTGACACAGTGCCCTCACAGATACCACAATGTACAGCTCTAATTGCATCAGTAATGATGGTGAAGTTTATTCTTAGTGCAGTTTATCCTTAAGTATTATGGGTAATTTAATTTTTGCTGAGGCACGTAGGCCTATGCTGATGCTTGTTGTTAAAAAACCCCGGTTGAACATGAGTTCATCAGAGGCAAATTGGGATTGTAGCACCAATGTAGTTACACTAAGTCACACTTGACAAGAGGCCTTGTCAAGAGGCTGAGGTAATCTACAGTTCAGGCTATTTTTTTCACATGAGAACAGGAGCCCTCCTAGGTTTCCTTGTGTACCTCATTACTGGTATTTTTCTTAAGTTATGTCAACATCCAGGAGATACAAAGAACTCTCTAGTCATTGAAGGCAAAACCCCTACTGCAAAGATAATGTAGTCTTTAAAATTCTTCCTTCTCCCCTCTGCCAACAATATAAAGCAGAGGGAGATTGTTCTGAATTGTAATTACTAATCCTGGTCCTTAAGCTCCAAAATTTGTCTCCATTTGCTGATATACTATAAGTACCTTTAGGAGCTTATCCAAAAATCACTTCAGCTCTGTTACCATGAGCCACCAATGTTCAATTGTAGCCCAGAAGGCTAACTGCATCTTGGGCTACATCAAGAGAAGTGTGGCCAACAGTTTGAGAGAGGTGATTCTGCCCCTCTACTCTGCCCTGGTGAGACCTCACCTGGAGTACTGTGTTCAGCTCTGCAGCCCCCAGCGCAAGAAGGGTGTGGACCTGTTGGAGCGTGTCCAGAGGAGGGCTATGAAAATGGTCAGAGGGCTGGAGCACCTCTCTTATGAAGACAAGCTGAGGGAGTTTAGGCTGTTCAGCCTGAGGACAAGAAGACTCTGGGGGGACCTCATAGCGACCTTCCAATACCTGAAGGGGGCCTGTAAGAAGGCTGGGGAAGACCTGTTCACTAAGGCATTTAATGATAGGACAAGGGGTAACAGTTTTAAGTTAGAAAAGGGTAGATTTAGGTTGGGCATTAGGAAAAAGTTCTTTGATATGAGGGTGATGGATCCCTGGAACAGGTTGCCTAGAGAGGTGGTTCTGGCCCCATCCCTGGAAATATTCAAGGTCAGGCTTGATGGGGCTCTGAGCAATCTGTTCTAGTGTGAGGTGTCCCTGCTTATTGTAGGGGGGTTGGACTAGATGACCTTTAGAGGTCACTTCCAACACAAGAAATTCTATGATTCTAGGATTCAGTGTGATAACTTGCCCATCAGATGGATCTCGGGAACATTTCTTCTTCCTAGGATGGGGCTGATTTGTCTGAGCCACACAAGCAATCTTAGGAGAGAGAGTCTTAAGCTCTTCTCTACATGAGTCTGATTCTGCAATGGCAGTGTCCAACCATGAACTGATCTTGCTGCTGCAGACAGGAGGTCTTCCATTCTTGCCAGCAGGGCTTGTGGTTACCAGTTGAATGTAATTTTCTGTCCTCTCTCTGGGACCAGTTTCTGTCTCCCTTCCCTCATCTTTCCCCTGAACACTACCCATGGGGGCCAGCTTTCACAATGCTTTTTGAGGTGTGGTTTGACACTTGATTAATATCTGTTCTCTGTTGGGATCTTCTGCCCTACGTTTCTGTGTTGTTAATTCTTTCTATTTTATGCAAAGATTGTGCATGCTTTGTGTTTACGGGTATAATTATGTACTGCAAAATGCAAAATATAATTAGGAACAAAAGAGGGTAATACTTTGTCTCAGATAAATGCAACAACGAAATCCCTGCTGATAATCTGTGCCAGGATGGCATCTATGGCAAACAGCTTCCGTCATCATTATTATGTATTTTTCTATGTATAGCAAACTGTTGAGGAAATGTGGCCATCCTGCAAAAGTTTAACAGTTCAGGTAATTTCCATTATAACTCCTTGAACAGGTCTGGATTTCAAACTTCAGTGAATGCATTCTTTAAAGATCTAAACACAGCATTTTATAATTAGTGCACTTTAATCCTTTCCCCCCCCCCTCAAAGTAGTTATTATTAACTGGTTTTAACTCCTTTACTTAAAACTAATGTGGGCTTTTCTTTTTGTGAACAGAAATTTGATAGTCAGTATCACAGATGGAGCCTTTTCAGAACATGAAATTATCACTCTTGGGCGCTATTATGGTGTGAGAGATGAATATGAATTGGACTGCCACTTTCTCCTTGCAGTGGCTCAAGAACAACTAAAGAAAAATAATTTTGAGAATTTTGAACAGCTGTCTGCAGTGTTTATGTACAATGACCGTGAAAAGTAAGTTTCCTCTATTTATCCAAAGCTATTATTTGGGAAACTCTACTTGTAAACCTGACCACTTTCTGGATTTTTGCTGAGCAAACAATATATTGCAGCCAAAGAATATTATTTGTAATGTGAAGCCTCTCTCAGCACTTGACAGTAGACTGGGATGACTGTAATTTTCATAAGAAAAGGATAACCTTTTTGTCTCTTTTTCATTTTGTTTGTGTACTTTTTATTGTAGCTTCTGTACTGAACATTCTGTGACATCATTAGATGTTTGTTCACAGCTAAAACACCATATATTAAGTCAAAGAGGATAAACAGTGATTTAAGGGAAAACAGAAAGGATTTGTAGCTGATTTTTTTATATGACTTATTTACCCTTTTTCTTCTCTGATGTCACAGATAAAGAATCACTAACAGTCACTAGAGTGCTTAGTGTGTGAGGACAAGCCACCATGTGCACTTCAAGATTCTTGGCTTTATAATAGCTAAATTTCATAAAACCTTGTTTTGTTTACCTCCACTGTGATACTCCTCGTGTTTTCCTATTCACAGCAACATTCACTTGAAATAAATATGGAAAATATCTAATATACATTTCTCCTCCTCTCTTTTTGCTTGTGTAGATGTGGAGTGCTTCCCCGTGAGACATGCAGAACTATTTGCAAGTCCTTCAAGTTGCCCCTCACTGATGATGATCTGCAAGGTTTACTGACCATGTAAGTTAAGTACAGATAGTATGACCTGCATGCATGGGTGCAAATCAAAGCCAAATGTCTACTGCAGACAGTTCTTAAGAATTTGTAATTTATATAATGTTAATTGTTTCATGATGCTGATTTTCATAGAATCATAGAATGTACTGGGTTGGAAGGGACTTCTAAAAGTCCCTAGACACATGTGGACATTATTTATAGAATATTTGTAATCGGCTACAGGGCATCCGTATTAGAAACTTCTCTTCATATTGTCTGGCATGGCAGATCATCTGGGCTTTGCCAGTATTCTATGGAATTAGTCTTATAGGGGTCAGCTACTGATACTTATCACTATCAGTGAGATTCACTTTTTTTGCTTCAGTTGTTCTTGTGTATATATGAGGTAAAACCAATAATCTCATGAAAGCATAGTATGTGAGTTTTCAGAAACATACCATGACAAATAAAATAAAATGTCCTCTAATCAAGTAGACAGCATCAGTAGTAAGTAAAAGTGGTTTGCTACTTCTATTAATCTCATCTGAAACAGATTTTGTTGTAATTTTTATAAAGGAAAAGGAGTGTTGGCATGGTTTCAATATTTTTCCATAGCACATTTAATTGTTTCCAAGAAATTGTTTAATTGCTTGGCTAGCAGTATTAATGGAAGTAGAAGTAAAAAGAACTAGTATTCAGTGAACTTGTATTGAAGACTAGACTTCAGAGTAATCTATGGTGTCTTAATCACTCCTGTGAGTTTGGTTTTCATAGCAGATTTTCTGGTAATAGGTTTAAATATATTCTTATTGGTCTCTTCTTTCCGTTTTGTCCTTGTATTCATGCTTTGTAAAAAGCAGGACCAGATCTTGTCACTTGTCATATTTAGATGCTTTCAGGCAGATACACTTCTTGATTTCAGGAGGACTTTCAAACTGTGTCTGAAGTCTCTTGTCAGGCAGAAATGTTTAGTCCATTTTTAATAAAGCACCTTCTTACTGCAAGCAAGACTTCCTATTTAAATCAGAATCAACAAGACTGCTTGAAGAAGCCTAAGGGGCTATTTTTCACAAAGCCCCCATTTCCAGACCAGAAACTTTCAGAACAGTTCCCTGCAGTAGCCAGATGACGCCTGGGCAATTTAATTGCCACTAATCCCTTCTGATATTTAGGTTACAAGCACTCGTCATCAGAAGCAGGTCTGAATTTTAGCATTAATCTAAATTTAATTTTTTAGAACTCCCATTAAGCTAGCTACCCAGCACAAAAAGTGTTTGAGGACAATTGACATCCTATACTAGACAAGGGGTTCTCATAGTTTCCACTTCATAAAAGCTGAAATTGAATAGATGCACAGACAAGGGGCTAGAGGTTTTCCTTTATGTACTAAACCAATCCTGATGAAAAACAGACAAGCCTGACACATCATAGACTCCAGAGACGTGTTTATTGTTTGTGAATTTATACCAGGGAAAGCTTTTCTGAGATGAGCCCCCTCTCTCCTGAAGAGTCTCAGTGTAGGCAGTTACAAGAAAAAGTCCAGTGCACTATAATAAAAATTAGGGATAAGCTCTATAGATAAGGAGGGAACTAACAGTTGGCTTTCACCCAGGTTTAGACAGGTACCCATGACAGCTGAATTAGAATTCATCTGTGGTAGGTTCTTTCTATAGGCAATGGAGGAGAGAGTTGTAAGACCTGGATTTCTAAATTATCATCCATTTCTCTTTGTTTCTAAAGAGGCTGTGGGCAAACTGTATTGCAGATTTCTGTATGAGAAAGGTAAATGGTGTGGAAGCTGGGCCTTGGAAATCGGTGTAAGAAGTACTTCTTATGATAGAGTACTGTGCGTATGCCAGTTCTAAATTACAGCATTAGCTGCTTTAAAAGCTGGTGGTTTATGTGGTGAGTCACTGCACTGCAGATTAAGAGCAAGACCGTCAGATTCTTAATAATGTGTGCAGTTACCACTGTTTAGTAAGCTTATTGTTTCAGGAGGGTGCAGAGTCAGGGAAAGGTTTTATTAAAGTCTGTTTAAAGAGTTAATTCCCAGTAATCTGGAACCTGAAGAGCAGAGTTGTTTGAATGAGAGGTAGACTTTTATTTTCCTGTAGTTTTCTTTAAGACTTAAGAATCATGAAGCAGGCTGGTTTATGCTAATGAAGAACAGCCTCACTCCTGAGGAGTATGCAGTTCAGCATTGGTAAAGTTTGTCAACAATAGTCTTTCCCTGTTTCATTTTGGATGGTTTTTTTTTGTTTGTTTGTTGGTTGGTTTTGGTTTGGTTTGGTTTTTGTGTGGGTCTCTTTGTATCTGAGTTTTTTTGTTGTTTTTGGTTTTGTTTTTACTTTTTTTACTTTTTTTTTTTCCATGAAGAAGCATATTATTTTGTGTCCGTTGTGTCCATTGGTGTTCCTACTGTGTGTATCTGTATTTATCAAGGAAGAAAGTGGTGCAATAAAAGATTTTGGATTGATTCCCATAAAATCAGTATATATAGCTAATGCACTAGTTGGACCCTATTCAGCTATAAAACTATGCTAGACAATGTGATCAGATAATAGTTGAAGACTGAAGCTGTATGTTTATTCAGCTTTGCTATCCGGGATTAGGTGACAAAGATTTTTTGAAGGACTTAATGCTGTTATTTTTCCATTTTGAAAGGTAATACGCTTAAAATATTTATTATTTACATTTGTAAATCATACTGTAATGATCTGTCACTTATTAAAAGCATGGGATGGGATTAGAAGTTACTGTCTAATTTTGTGATCACTTCCAGATGACCCAAGACTTTGCTTACTGAACCCAAAGACCATTCAGTTTCCACAGAATGTAGAGAGAATTAATACAAAGACTGAAGTTTTGTAAGACCCTTTCAAATTGTCTATCCAGGGTAAATTTGTATTTTTAGTTGTGGGAAGGTGTAATAGTAGGATTTAAGTACCCAACAATGTGTCCATTTTTCCAATTTACCTGGGCTGGCTTATTTAAAAATATTTCCTTTCTCCATCAACATTTTCTCACTTTTTTAATCACAGGACAGTACATCACATTAAATCACAATATATTAAGTGATGCAGATGCCACACAATTGTTTCCGCCAGAAAACTGCAGAAGTTGCTATAAGCATTTCTTTGCATTTATGCAGGCATAATGAACAATTATAGTTTGTTCAATAGATATATGTTCCTGAAGTGGTTAATTAATTAAGTTAGGGTTGGGGTTTTTTTCTGTTATTTTTATTTAATGCAATGGTAAATATATATTAACAAGGACTTAAAAAGATGCAGTTCTTTCCCACAGGGCATATAAACAGCTGGCAGATAAAGAAAGAAAAAATGGAGGGAATAAAGAATGGGTGGCAAGTTTCCAAGTATTATGTGTTGATTGTTCCACATTACTTTAGTTGTTAAGCATCTGTCCCTATTTTAAAAAATAAATCTTAATTTCTGTTAGAAGCAGCCATGTGGTTCTTCACCTCTCCACAGTACCTGGGTGAGTCTGATTGACTTTGGAGGTGCACTTGTTTTTTTTGAAAAAGTTAATTCTCAGGTATCAATGCCTGATGGCAATGTGCCTCCTACATGGTCATCCCAATTCTTAAGCCGCTATTAAGCTAGGGCAGGCTACCTACCTACCTGTCATGTTTTGTTAGGGCTGACCTGTTTATTTCAGGGAGCAAACCCTCTTTTCATGTGTCCTGGTAGAAGGAGCAAGATTGGAAATGGTCACAAGATCATTCTCCTGTGCTCTCTTCTGCTCATTACCTTTGATGCCTGGGAATCCCTGTGCCATTTGTGATGAAAAGACTGTCTAGCATTAATATTTGGATCTCTTAAAAGAAATTCTTTATGTTATTCAGTGTGTTGAGGAATTGATGATTTAATCTATTGTTGGTCAAGATGTGAATAAATATATACACAAGATGTTTTAGGCGTTACTTACTTCATACTGATTAGCTGCATTGACTTGTCTGTGCTTGCTGTTTTAAATCTTTTCATATGAGCCATTTATGACAATTAGGTGTGAATCTGTGTTACTCAGAGACTGTCAAATAGGCTGAAAAATCCCAACATTTTCTTTAAGATTTAAACAGCATAATTATCAGATGAACACCTTAATAAATGTTATTCAAAACTGCATAATTGAAGAACCTCTGCATGTACATTAGCATTTGACATAAACGTTTGGGTGACAAATTTCTCAATGAGAGGGAAAATATTTTTTAAAGTAACCTTTACTCACCAAAGCATACTCAGGAATGGCCATAATGTGATTTGACCAGATTTCTCATGTATCTGGACTATTTCCTTATTAATATATTTTTAGAAGCAGAAATGTGCAATTATTTCTGTAATGTCACAAGATAAAGTAAAAGCAACTCTGCAAACTATGGTAGGGATGGGGGAGTGACTTTCATAGCCTAAAATCACGTGTTGGTGAAGTCATAGGGCAAAACCAAAGAGAAGCATGGTTTCAAGAGATCTTTGTTGCATCTTCTTGATAAGGCAAATATAATTTCCTTTCCTGAAGAGCGCTGTCAGCTTCAGTCATATTAACTCTAACCCCTGAAATGTATGACATCTCTTTCTTAATAATGCATGATTTGATAATATCTCCTCAGTCCATCTGGATGCCCTGTGCTAAATTGCAAATGTGTGCTTTTACTGGGTGGATGCAATAAGTAACAGAAGGGAACAGATCTAAAAGGTAGATTTTTTTTTCTTTCTTTCTGGACTATTCTAGGATAATATTTTAAGCTACTTTCTGTAGCTATTGAAATATGGGACTTAGGAATCCCATTTCCTCTGCCCATATTAAAATCTTTGGTTATAGTCAACTTAATGCTCATGTTGTAATCTCAGTTTGTTAGTTCAGTCACATCAACAGACTTTGCTCCTTGTGAATGTTTGTCAAAAGCTGAAGCAATTCAGTGCCTTAAAATAAAGCTTAGGCAGTTAAACTCCTTCACTTGTATTTTATTTAAAAATTCTGCTTATACATCTCTGCATCTTATCAGTGGACTTAATCTTTTGACTTTTCACAATAAGCAAAAGATAAATACATATATAGTAATAGAAAAAACAATTGTCATGGTAGTTCTGAAGTTCAAAATCTATGTGCCACAGTTTTTTGTCCAAGAAGTATAAGCTTTTTCATTGTCTTGTTACTTCTAATGCAAACAACTTTTTTTTTCCCCCCCAATTACCACCTTCAAAAACCTGAAACAATCAGGAGGCCCCTAGAAGTGAGAATGAGAATTTTCTTGCATATGGGATATATTCACCAAAAGTAAGGCTTTATGAAAGTGTTAACTTGTGTGTGAGCTACCATAAAGAAGAAAGCTATCATAGGAGGCTTTCTCATGGCAATATTTCAGGCTCCTCTTTAATACTAGTAACAGTAGCATTCTTTTCTGACTTCACTTTCATCTTCAGCATAACTCACTGTACTTAACATTCCAGTTTATCACTAGCATCTCTGTTTATGGCTCTCAATATATTTTGGTGTTATCTCTCCTGCTGACTATTAAATGAAAGGTGTGGGGGGAGGAGAAAGACAGGATGAGTTGCATTTTATTGCAGTTTATTTTTGTCACTAGATTTATTTCTTCTCTTCTCTGGTATTGTTTTCCAAGTTTGTGATGTAAATTCTCCCTTCATTCTTAATTTTTACCAGAACCCTCTTCAGTGATTGAAGGGTTTTGGGGCCCAGGTTTTCTTCAGTGGTATTTCATTAAGAACAAGGTAAAATGATTTTCTACAATACTTGTTTCTTGGAGGTGATCTTGCTCTGGTGGAGTAGTATTTGTCTCAACAGATTACAGAGCAGAATTGTTGGACCTGATGTTTGCCACCAAAGAATAGGTATTGAGTCTTGCTCTCCATGGATTCCACTGAAGCACACACTTCCAGGTTCTGCTAATATGCCTAAACCAGGTGCCTTTTATATGTAGGTGGTATTGAGTGAGACAAATGTCATTCACAGAAGCTGCTAGTACAGAATTTGTTGCAGAGCAGTTAAGCTGTTCATTTCAAGAATTATTTGTGTGGTAGCTTCAGCATGTAGGTATTTTTCAAGCATTTGACTAGTTCCTCTGAAATAACAATGATTCCCAAGTGCCTTAAACACCTAAGGGTTTTGCTGAATCAAGGACTTTTTTTCTGAAGCTGCTTCATCCAGTTCAGTGGCAGAAGGATGGTGTAGCCTTCAAATCTGCTCTCTTGGGGTTTATTAGTGCAGGGTAATGATTTTAAAAGTTTACCTATAGACCTTAGCTGGCAGCATATATATCTTCATGCTCTTAGAAGACACTCGTAACTGACACAAATATATACTTATTGCATAGAAACAGTGCCATAAAACAACTGCCAAATGACAAGGGTTGGGATTTTGAAATCTGGCTATTATTTCATAAATTTGAGAGCTGTGCATTTGTCAATTGTATATTGATTCTAATGTGTGTACAAACAGTATTTTTGAAGAACTGCTTATTTTCAGAAAATTATTATTAAACTAAAAATTATAGAAGCCATACACAGCAGGTCAATTGTGTTATAGCACAACTGTGTCTCATATCATTCTACCTATCAAGCTATCATTCTATGAAGCTGGTGAAGGATCTAGCACAAGTCTTATGCAAAGTGGCTGAAGGAACTGAGGTGGTTTAGCCTGGAGGAAAAGAGGCTGAGAGGAGACTTTTTTGCTCTCTACAGCTATCTGAAAGGAGATGGGAGTGAGTGGAGTGTTAGTCTCTCTTCTCCTGAGTAATAAGTGATAGGATGAGAGCAACTGGCCTTAACTTGTGCCAGGGGAGGTTTAGATTGGTTATTAGGAAAAATTTCTTCACCAAAAGGGTTGTCAAGCTCTGGAACAGGCTGTCTAGGGAAGTGGTTGAATCACCATCCCTGAAGGTATTTAGAAGACGTGTATATGTGGTGCTTAGGGACATGGTTTAATGGGACTTGGCTGTGTTGGGTTTATGGCTGGACTCAAAGATCTTAAAGGTATTTTCCAACCTAATTAATTTTGTGATTCTACCTGTTTCTTTTCTACACAATAGAATCATGATCATCCTAATTCTTTGCTTGTCACCAGCTGTGAGATCCCAATGTTAGAAAAGTTTGGGCAATGCTTTGAAAGTAAAATGAAATTAGTTGAAAGGTAATAAACCTTGAACAAGTTGAATTCTACTATGAAAGACAATGATAAGTTGTGAGCATATGGAATAGAGTGTATGACAGAGAAATCCTGACAGTTTGGTAATAATTTTCTGGACCAATGTTTGGTAATAAAGGAGTAAAAAATTATTATCCAAAAGGTAACACATTAGTCGGCTGTAGATAACATTATGCAACTTTGTTAGACATGTCCTTTAACCTTGAGTGATCTTATGCACATTCTGTTTAGGTTTGAAGATGACCGTAAGCAAGTGGAATATAATAAGCTTGTGGATGGGCTGAATTGGAGAAAGAATCAAATACCTGCTTTCCAGACAATAAAGCTTCCACTCAAGGTAAAACCAGTGTATTTGAGCAAAGAAACAATGCAGTAGATTGATATAACTTAGAGCTATGAGGATGATTAAGGGACTGGAACACCTGCCTTATGAGGAAAGGCTGAGAGGCCTAGGGCTTTTCAGTCTAGAGAGGAGAAGAGAAGACTGAGGGGGGATCTAATTAATGTCTATAAATACATGAGGGCTGATCATCAAGAAGGGAGGGACAAGCTCTTTTCACTTGTGCCCTGTGACAGGACGAGGGGCAATGGATTCAAACTCAAACACAGGAAGTTCCACCTAAACATGAGGAAGAACTTCTTTACTGTGAGCGTTACAGAGCACTGGAACAGGCTCCCCAAGTAGGTTGTGGAGTCTCCTTCTCTGGAGACTTGCAAGACCTGTTTGGATGCCTTTCTGAGTGATCTGCCCTAGTTTGTTGCCTTTTTCTTTTTTTTTTTTTTTCTTTTTTCTTTTTTTTTTTGTGTCCTTCTCTGGCAGGTGGGTTGGACTCTATATCTTCAGAGGTCTCTTCCAACCCCTAAAATTCTGTTATTCTGTGATTCTGTAAACTTGTGCAACTTTAGCATGAGTGCTTTATCCTATGGAGACCACAACACTTTTCATCTTTGTATATTTGTGCCTATTTTAATCAATTAATTATATTTTTCCTGAGGGATTTAGAATGAGGCAGAGAAGTCAGACAGGGACAGGGAGCCCTATAACACCCCTGTGCCTGACAGGTGTCATATCTTTGTGACATTTTTTAGAACAAAAAAAAAAAAAAAGGGAAGAGGAAACAAGTGTATTTGTCCATGAACAATGGGTGTGAATACTGCTTCACCCACAAATATAATTGTTGCATGTCGAATGATCTTTTCGCTTACTGAGATAGTCAGGAAATACCTTAAACTCCACTGGCACTTCAGAAAATTGCTATGTATTTTTTAAAACTCCACAGAAACTTGAACATAATACACTGTAGATATACAGCAAGAGCAGTATGGGTGCATCAACTTTGTATATCTCCCCCAGCCTGCTACTTGGGGTAAATGAAAATCCAGTATCAACAAACCGCAGAGATTAATATCATCTTGCCATCTTGTTGTGTTGAATGGAATTTTTTTTAATAGATGGTGCATAAGACAATTATGCTGATTGTAAAAAACTTTGCAACAGATAAATCTAAAGCCCTTCTGCCAACATGTAGTTTTGCTGTTCTGGCTTAGCCAATGTGTTACTGTGCTTATAGAGAAAGTGTTTGATTATGTTCAGACCATTTAGAAACACAACATTCCTTTAAATTCAAGTTCAACAGTGACATAGTTTAATCCAGTATTTCTCAAGTACTGTGCTTTTAACTTGAGTCCTCTGTCTTACTTGGCTGACCAGCTCTTTCTTCTGTAGTATCTCAAACTGTTGTGATGTCTAATAAGGTCCTAATGCTGCTGGTTTGCTCTGCTTCCCATTGTAGTTTATTTTTCACTTTGTCATAAGAATTTTTCCATCTTGTGCAGATAAAATCAAAGCCCTTCCACATGTTTTATACAGCTGTCCTGTAGTTCGAAGAGTGCATTAGGTTTTGTTCAGTAGGTATTCTTTGTTTTCACAGAAGAATTCTGTTCTTAAGTTATAGCTCCATATTTAAACAGTGTCTGTTCTCAGAAGATTGTGTCAGGATAAGGGGTCTCATGAGCATCAGTAACACAGGAACAAAAAGGTCAAAGCCAGTGTTCAGAGGATTTTTATCTTGAAGATGGCGCTAAGCACTGTACCGAAAAGCAAGGGTGAAAGAAGCAGAGGTACAGATACACTTGCTGTTGGATGTGTTTGACCATTTTTTTCCCCTCCCAGCTGCATGGCTTATGTAGCAGACAGGCATAACCTGATTTCTGGCAGGTGAGGGAAGGTGATGACTCTTGTGGGGTGAAGGTGGGGTGCAAGTGGTGGTGGAACCAAGAGGCGGTCTTCACAAGTTGAAGGTGTGGAGGAAAACACGCTTGTGAAACAAGCAGGAGGTTGAAGCGTACATTTGTGGTGAAACATGTTCCAGTCAGCATAAGATATGAGGTTTTGTTTGGGTATGAAGAAGATATTTGCTTGGAGGGCAGCCTGTGGATGGGCTTCCTAGGAGAGGCTGATGCCTAACAGCCCTGGTTGAGAACTGCACGTGGAGTTATCAGAGGAAAGTTACAGCTGATATTAAAAAAGGAAACAAAGTCATCATCATTCTGGGATAATCGGTTCCTCATCAGCCCCAAAGCCTTCCTGTAACTGTCATACTGACATATAGCACTGTTATTAATGAATTGTGCTCAAATTGGTGCCAGTATAGATTATTCAGTTTGATTGACTGTATTATTTTATTAGTTAACTAACAATACCTGAGCTATCCTTGGTGCAATCCAAGAATATTATAATGAAGAGATCAGTATGAAATGGAAAAAACAGAGAAAGGAAGGGATTTGAATCTTGTTCAACTTTAGAATCCAATTGTCATTCTGTTCATGACTTACCATGAATTAACAGCAACATTTTTGGGCTACAGTACCTTTACTTGACAGATAGACTTCAGCAACAGATTTGTGAGTGTTTAGTTAACTTTTTATTCTTTCTATCTCATTATTTTTTATTATTTTTGCTGCTGAGATACCCATGCCTTGCAAGACTTTCAAGTATAAGCATCTTATGAAGAAAATATAGCATTATTTAATTTGAAAATATCTGCAAAAGGGCTAATGGGAGAAAATATTTTAATAAGATATCCTGCAAGATTGATAAAAATGTGCATGTAGTAATATTTTAAAAGCATGTGCTGTATAAAGGTCCAGTTTTTCACAAATTTGTGAAATAAAGCAGTTCATTCAATCTTATGTTTACTACCTTTGAATTGTTCTTGTTTTCAATATTATGTTCTAAAAAGTTCTTTGGGTTATTAATTTCAGAATGAAGAACAGAGGAGCAGACACCCACCATCCCTGCCTGTGAAAGGGATCAAATACTTGCCTCTTCTGGATGATCTGTTTGGCAAGGAAGAATAATCTGATCTGTGCAAGGCACTTCTCTTGGATTAGTGTTTTAGCTCCAAAGCTTAGTTAGACAGATACTGAAAACATTTCTTGTAAAACACCCACTTACAGGTTTTAAGGCATTTACTTTAGTATTCCAACATAGGTGGATACTTTGTGCATGTTTGTAACTCCATCTAAATCGACAGTCCTCTTTCATGCTTTTACAAGCATAATTAAAACTGTATCCTCTAATCTTCGTGTCTGGTTATATGGAGAAATTATAAATATTGAGAAGTCTTTGAGTCAAGCAGAGCAAAATCTAACTAACCCTGCTTTGGTTCTGCAAACAAATGAGGTTGTTGGATGACCTCTTAAAATATTAGGTTGGACTATATTAGCACAATAAGATAATTCTGTTCAAATTTCCTCTCTTCCTCTGTAGTTTATATCTGTGTTTTTGCTGTATCACTGTAGTGATGCTTAACTACTGTTTGTGTCCAAGTTTGTTATTTTATGGAGGAAATACTAGCAAGGTTTTAGCACAGCATAAAGTTGCTTGATATCAAAGATAATTATACCCTTCCAGTGTAGAAGTAAATATATTGCAGACACAGCACAGAAGCTATCAGTTCTTGCTTTTTGTTTTAAATGTGACTCAGATTAGTAGCTACTCAAGTTTTCTTTGGTGAGACATGTATGAAGAGAAGGTGTTTCAGTCTAACTGCTGCCCATCCCAGCAGTCTTGGACTAGATGATCTTTAAGGTCTCTTCCAGCCCAAACGATTCTATGTTTCTATGAATTTTAGTGTGCAGCTTTTTTGCAGTAGCACTGTACTTGCCCTTTGAAAATTCTTCGATGCCTTTCTCTTTGCTCAAAATCAGCAGGACTAAATGGAATTCCTGTCAGCATTTTTGCATCTTTTTAAGCTTATGCCAGGTCAAAGCCATGTTTAGGTCGAATTTATGGCACGGTTTTGTGAGAGGAGCAATTTTCCCAGTTTAAAGAATAGAAGAATTGTGGAGAGGGGGAAGCTGACTCATCCACGTCGATTCTACAGGGGACAGGGAAGAGATGTCAGGCAGCACCCTGCTGCCAGAGGCTGGGACACACATATTCAGAAGACTGAAAAACCTGTGCTTTTTGTAATCTGAAATTACAATTCAGAGACGAAGTGTTTTGTTTAAAAAGATGAGAATAGAAAGTATCTAAATCCCCAACCTGAGGGAAAGGCAATAGTTCAAAGAGTCACTTAACTTGGTAAATCTTCTTGGAAACTTGGAGATCCCCTTTTGAATTGTGATTCCATTTAAAAATACCATGCATTTTTCCATTATAGTATAAAGTTCCCAATTTTATGTCTTCTCTCTAACCTGTCTAGCTCCTGAGAAGAATTTTTTTTCCCTCCATATGGCAAAATATGAAGCTTTTGGCAGCTTTCTAGCTTTTTTTGTCAGCAAAAAAGGACTTGAGGCAAAACATAATTATGTGTGTTGCTGCTGCTTAGGAAGATGTTTACAGTAAACTGCTAAATTTAAATATTAATTAAAATAATTAAAAGTAAAATATTTACAATTAAAATACTAAAAAATATTTATGGTAGATAAATGTGTCTGTGTCCAGGACATCCAAAAGTAAAATCTAAAAACTTATTCGAGTGCTCCAAGTTGTAGACAAGACCATGTAGTGCTTTTTGATCCAAAAGTGGAAAATGGTTTTTACATGAAAAGAAAAATGTTTGACCACAGGGATAGTGTCAGGAGCAAAACAATAATAACAACTTGTATTTGAAGGCAGTTTGATGAAAGCTGAAGATTTTTAAAACATGCCACCAAGACTGAGCTTGTCACTTTAAATGAATGCAGTTGCTTTTGTAAATTTTTAATATTCCCCGGACTTCAGAAGTATGTGTTTCAGTTGTGGAACTCTTGTACAGCCAAGGGTTTCCAAGAAAGATTGGTTTGGAACATTTATAACTTCCCAAGTAGCTTTTAGGGATGGGCAATTAGTTTTAGTGTGTTTTTCTTTATGTATATAGGACAGAGAGGAGGCTCTGTTCAGAGAAAAAAAAACAGTAGTACAAGAAATATAATTTCACGTGGAACCATGTGTATAGGTGTGCTCAATCATGATCTAGCCTAGTCATGGTCAAGAAAGGTGACTGGAACCTGTGCAGAGAAGAACTAAAAAGATGACTAAGAGAATGGAGATAAGCAAGGAGATTAAAGGAGCTTGGGTTATTTAGAGAAATAAAATGAAGTCTCAGAGAGAATATGACAGCTCTCTCTCAGTACACTATGGCTAGGTGAGGAAAATGATCTTTTAGTTAAGAACACTGGTAGTCTAAGAACAAATGGGTATAATTTGTCATGAATAAATGTAAACTGGACCAGAAAAGGTGGTTTTTCACTTCTGAAACAGAAGTTTTAAGGTTATTTAGTTTTAAGGTTCAGATGGGTCATCTGATGACAGGAATTTTAGGATGTTTATTAATACCCTTCAGAATTATTACTCACACTTATCTTTCTCCTTTTTTTCCCATGCATCTTGCATAATGCTGATGAGCACAATAAGATCTCCTAGGAGCAGGACAGATAGGGCCTGAAAAATATTTTCAGTGCTTGTCACCATGCTCACAATGTGTCATATTCTGTAGTCTGAAGTGTCATTAACACTTTTCACCAGGTTTTCTTTTTTACAAGCAGCAATGCTTCCTGAAGGGAAAACCCTAGCCAATGAGCAGTCCAATAATAATACTCTTTGTATAATGTGACTTGCAGCATATGCTGCCCAGAATATTTCAACCTCTCCTCTAATCCTGCCACCAGCTTCTTCTCTCTTTTCACATTGCTGATGAGGGGCCTGAATGAAGACAATACCACAAGGTTATATTTCAAGATGGCAGGAAGCCACAGCTTTAAAGCGTGCATCACATAAATGGGAAGGTAGCCCTCACAGTTGCCATTAATCTCAGCTCTTGATCTCTGTAGAGGAGCCAAAGGTATCTTCTTTCCACAAGTATCTGTGCTGTCCACAGCAGGAACGAAGAGATTCACGTTACAGTACCAGCTGCCCATCTCACTGCTGGGGTCTGCTGCAAGTTCAGTGTTAATTTTTATTTCTTCAACTTGGCATTTGAGAATAAGAGGCTTCAAGTTCTCTGGAAAAACTGCTGCTGCAAGCCAGTGGCAGGTTGTAAACAGCAAAGAGGAGCAGTCCTTGTGTGCAAGTGGTGTGCTAGTTAGATCAGAGCCCCACATCAGCTTCTGCTCCAGTTCAGAGCACCTGCCCTGGTCACCAGCAGATGGGCCCCCCCCTCAGACATGGTAGCCACAAGCAGCCATAGACAATCTGTGGACAAAAATGAAGTTCCTCACCAAAAAACATTTTCTTATATCCTGCCCATCATACATCTACTCATTTTTCTAGACAGAGGCATTTATACCAACATCAGAGAGGTGTTTATGTACATAATTGAAAAGTTCTCCTTCTGCATCTGTCCCTGATGTGCTAATGTGAGTTGATCCTACTTCATGGCAGGAAAGCTCTTCACATAAAAAGTTTGGGCTCAGTTGCCTCCTACATCTACTTCCTCTGTCTTGTCCTTTCATCCCAGGAGACATTTCTTCCTTTCAAAGGCAAACCTTCTGTGGGAGGGCCACTCAGCCAAACTAGGTCACCCATAAATCCATGGGCGCTGATGGGATCCATCCACGAGTTCTGAGAGAGCTGGCAGATGTTGTTGCTAGGCCACTCTCCATCATCTTTGAAAGGTCATGGAGAACAGGAGAGGTGCCTGAGGACTGGGGGAAGGCCAGTATCACTTCAGTCTTCAAAAAGGTCTAGAAGGAGGACCCACAGAACTACAGGCTGGTTAGTCTCACCCTGGTAAGGTGATGGAGTGACTCATTCTGGACATCATCACAAAACATTCGAAAACAAAGAATGTCATTGGGAGAAGTCAGCTTGGCCAACCCAGTTGCCTTCTATGATGTAACTGGCTGGCTAGATGAGGGGAGAGCAGTGGTTGTCATCTGCTTTGACTTCAGCAAGGCTTTTGATACTGTCTCCCATAACATCCTTATTCAGAAACTCGGGAAGTGTGGGCTAGATGAGTGGACAGTGAGGTGGATTGAGAGCTGGGTGTGTGAGAGAACTCAGAGGGTAGTGACCAATGAAGCAGGGTTGAGTAGCCAGTGGTGTCTCTCAAGGGTCAGTTCTTGGTCTGGTCTTGTTCCACATGTTCATCAACGACCTGAATGAGGGGACAGAGTGTATCCTCAGCAAGTTGGCTGATGATACCAAGCTGGGAGGGGTGATGACATTCCAGAGGGCTGTGCTGCCATCCAGCATGAGCTGGGCAGGCTGGAGAGCTGGGCAGAGAAGAATCTAATGAGGTTCAACAAGGGGAAATGTAGGGTCCTGCACCTAGGGAGAAAGAACCCCATGTACAGTATAGGTTAGGTGTGGACCTTCTGGAAAGCAGGTCTGAGGAGAAGGATCTGGGAGTCCTCGTACATAGTAAATTATCCATGAGCCAGCAATGTACCCTTGCCTCCAAGAAAGCCAATAGAATTCTGGGGTGCATAAGGAAGCGTGTGGCCGGTAGGTTGAGAGACATCACTCTCACCTCTACTCTGCCCTGGTGAGGTCACATCTGGAATATTGCATCCAGTTCTGGGCTTCCCAGTTCAAGAGAGACAGGGAACTACTCAAGAGAGTCCAGTGGAGGGCAACAAAGATTATTGGGGGATTGGAGCATCTCTCTTATGAGGAAAGGCTGAGAGAGCTGGGACTCTTTAGCCTGGAGAAGAGAAGGCTGAGGGGATACCTTATTAATGCCTACAAGTATCTAAAAGGTGGGTGCAAGGAGGATGGAGCCAGACTCTTCAGTAGTTCCCAGTGACAGGATGAGGGGCAATGGGAACAAGATGGAACATGGGAAGTTCCATTTAAATATGAAGAAAAACTTATTTACAGTGAGGGTGACAGAGCACTGGAACAGGCTGCCCAGGGACTTGTGGAGTCCCCT